CTACTCGACCTCCGTCTGATAACTGGGGGTAGAGAGTGGAACACTGGTTGTCCATCGACCAGATCCTCAGATCGATTAAGTCAGCGACCTCATGTCCAGAGTGCTTGGGGAATATCTACTTGATCTGAAGCAATTGTGCTAAACTACCTAGCAAAAAGATAAATAAAGCAATAATAAGGAAATTAACGAGCAGACAAACGGAGAGCATAACAGCGTAAATAAACACAATGCACAGTCGGGTATAATTAACACACAATTGATACACCGTTCTCAAAGACTGATCATTATTCTCAAATCACTGTCCCCGAAGCTGAATCTGATACCCACAAATAACTGATTCCAAAAATACTGAACTGGTACCCGCAGGCCTGATACCCAAAATACTGAACCGACGCCACGCAGGCCTGGTGCCCAAACTTGTAAACTGATACATGCATTCGTATAGAGACGCACTTTAAAAGCACATAACAACAAGTGAGAGCCAAAACACCCCAATGTTGGGATACACTGCGTCTACTCGACCTCCGTCTGATAACTGGGGATAGAGAGTGGAACACTGGTTGTCCATTGACCAGATCCTCAGATCGATTAAGTCAGCGACCTCTTGTCTAGAGTGCTCGGGGAATATCTACTTGATCTGAAGCAATTGTGCTAAACTACCTAGCAAAAAGATAAATAAAGCAATAATAAGGAAATTAACGAGCAGAAAAACGGACAACATAATAGTGTAAATAAACACAACGCACAGTCGGGTATAATTAACACGCAATTGATACACAGTTCTCAAAGACTGATCATTATTCCCAAATCACTGTCCCTGAAGCTGAATCTTACACCCGCAGATAACTGATTCCGAAAATACTAAACTAGTGCCCGTAGGCCTGATGCCCAAACTTGTAAACTGATACATGCATTCGTATAGAGACACCCTCTAAAAGCACATAACAAACAAGTGAGAGCCAAAACACCCCTATGTTGGGGTAAGGTTTCCCTGTCCTATTTTGTCAGGAGCTAGGGTTTCACTACGCACGCAGCAGTTTCAAACAACCTATAAACGTTTAAGCAACCTGTCCTAGTTTGGAATGGTCACTATGGATTCCAAATATGCACTAGGTCGAATGATCAAAAAGGGTGCCCCTGTAAAATCGGGGTTTGTGTTCCTGTCGTGGTAGAGCCCGCAACCGGTTAGCCTTGTGGCACGCTTCTCGAAGTGAGCCTCCGGCAAACCGTTCAGGAATAGCATACGGCAAACATGGTGTCCTAAGCACACCAATGCAAATGCAATGTAAAGAAACACATAAGTGTAGGCAAAACCAGATATCATGAGTTCCAGTCAAGTTCTCTAAGTCCCCAGCAGAGTCGCCAGAAATTGTAGACGTCCCCGAACGTCCCAGGAGGATGAATCTCCCGTTCTGTTCATATGGGCTCACTACAGTTCAGGACTCAAAGTCACGGTCCTGTACTAATTCTCGTAGAGGCAAGCAAACCGACTGAAGACAAAGAGTCCAAATCCAGCAATTCGTTTTGAAAGAAGTGCCAAACATGGACTGCTTTGCCAGATACAGAGTCGCCATAAATATTTTATTTTTGGGGAAATTTAGGAAACCCTGACCCGTTGCCTAAGGCCACGTGTCCATCATCGCCAAAGTTGCCTCGGCTCGAGAACTTGGGTACGATTGGGGAAGTTCACTTCGTGAGCACCCCCGCTCGCCCAATCAAAGATCGGCCTCTACTAACCATGATATCTAGTTTTGAAAACACTATGCGTTCATATTCCGGTTATTAGCCTAGATTTACTTTGTGATGCGCACAGCATACAAGTATAGACTGGATCGCCTGAATTGGAACGAAACATCTCATGTTTGTTTTGAAAACGGTTTGCTACTCGCAAGTAGGCTAAAATGTGGATATGCCACCCTCAGGTGGGCTTAGAAAACATGGTTTTGCCACTATCTAGTTGGCTTAAAACTCGCAGTCGATGAATTGTTCCAATCCAAATAACCCAACCTTCACCCACAGGCATTCAGGCAGGTATATCACATAAGCACATAGCCTCATGGTAAGCATGCTACAATGGTAGTCACTCACACACATGCAAGGATGCTAAAGCATAAAACTTACCGAGTACTCCAAGCCAAAACAAAAGCTATGTTAGAAATCCATGCATGAATCCTAACTATGCTGAAATGCCTAATGCAACACATGCAAAATGCAACTATAGTAGGCTCGGCTATTCTAAGGATGACATGCGAAATGCTACAACTAACACGTATCCAACTCGGAATTGAAATACAATGCAATTAGTATGATGCGCCGAGCCCGGTGCATGCAATACAGATGAATGATGCAAACATGCAAGCATAAGTATGCTAATTGAAACATGCTCTAATCTAACCATCATACGTGGGTAAATAAAAGGGAGAAAGACGTAGGGTTGGAAGACATACATCACACGCATGCACACTTATTACAATTGTGCCCTCGCTCGGAGGGTCTGAATAAATAATACAGTCTGAATAGTAATTACAGTCTGAATAAATACAAAACCCTAATTAATTAACAGTTTAACTAGGAAAGCAAGCAAATTAGCATGCAAGCTATGGACCGCCTCGGCTCTGTTCCGAATGATGAAAGATGCATGCTTAAGTTGCTTTGTGCGGAAATCCATTGCGACGCCCCGATTCGCCTCTGTTTGCAATTAATGCCAGAATGCTGTGCAAGGCTTTAGAAAGCTGCTGATTTCTGATTTGCTACAACAGAGAGCAACAAAGGGGTACAACAAAGTATTTTCACATATGTAGGCATGACTACTCTTCAAGAAGTGTAGTCCTCGATCCTCGTGCCACCAATCACGCATCTCGATGCATGATGGCCGATGAGTCGAATTGCACGACTCGATGTGAAATGAACGAATATATAAACACAACAAGACCTAAACTCCATCATGGGTAATCCGGAGTGTCGACGACCGGGAATTGAGACACGTTCCGTCACTGGGAGTACGAAACGTCCCTCATTTCCCGTGCTTGGGCTAACTCCTATCCCAAACACAATGCAAATGGGATGGCATACACAACGCGACTAACATACAACCTAGCATACGCAATGCTATGAAATGGCATACACAATGCTCGATGTAACATGGCATACACAATGCTCTAACATGCAACTCAGCATACACAATGCTATAGACCGAAATGGCATACACAATACATGATGGACTTACACCAACATGAGTGGACCTCAGCCACACTCACATCAGTGGCCATTAGATGAAAATGAGACAACCGAAATGTGTGCACACATGCACGAATACCAAGGACCGAACCTAAGGCATGGAATGCCACTCTACCAAAGCATGGCAAGGGATGAAAGATGGCATGGAATAGCATAAATTACAGCTCTGAAACAGCATGAAATATGGTTCCGAAACATGCAAATATGGCACACAATGCAAGCTACGGGGCCCGGGTACCGAAACTAGTGAAGTGCGTTACACTGGAGGTACCCAAAGCAATGCACCAAAGGCAAAACCAACCCCAAACAGACCCTAGGCAAGTCTGAAATAGTGGGACAATGGCCTAAAATGATGGCTCGGCATGCAACGGAATGGAGCTCATTCAATGGTCGATAAATGAGGCATACGAGCCCGACTCTCAAACGCATTTAAAGAGATGAAAACATGGCAACATGGCATTCATATAAGCTCTAAAATGTGATGAAAAATAACCCCAAGGCATAAAAATACCTCAGTATATGCATGCAATGGACCTCAAACCTCAAAGTTAAGCATGGGTATTGAACTACAAGCATGAAAAACAAGCATCATTCAACCACAAGACCCAAAAATGGAGCTAGGGCAGTCCAAAATAAGCACATTATTAGTTTAAGATGTGGCCAAAATGTGCTAAAATCAAGGTCCAACAAAGCATGCAAAGAAAGCTAGTGAACCATGAGTTGTTCTACAACTATGTGAAGCATATGAAATCTCATTAAACCAGCCAAAAATAGATGTATGGCATGCCAAAATATGCCAAAATATGCCCAAATAACCACTGAAACTCAGTCAATGCATGCAAAAATGATGAGCTCCTTTGGAAGGCCATGCAAGGGGTTACTCTACACCTATATGATGGACACATACACTACAACAAAATGGTGCTTTAATGACAAAATCACTTCGTCTCCAATAATGAAATTTTCGTCACCAAATTGATCCGTGACGAAATAATTTCGTCACCACGTTCGTCACCAATTCGTCGTCACTAAAAGTACCCGGTGACAAAAATTTATTTTGTCACCTATTATTGGCATTTGGTGACGAAATATTTCGTCACTAAATGTTAAATATTTTGTCATCTATAATATCCATTTCGTCACCAAAATTAAATAAAATTTTATTATATTTATTTTGGGTGACAAAATATTTCGTCATTAAAAATAGTGATAAAGTTTTTAGTGACGAAAATATCGTCACCAAAAGATGAAAAAAAAGACCCATCAGTGACGAAAACTTTTTGTCAAGAAATATTTTAATTTAGTGATGAAATAGTGAATATGGGTGACAAAATTATTTGTTGGGATTAGAAAGTTTTAGTGTCAATTGTTTTCGTCACCAATAATAAATAATTTTTAAAAATTGAGGGGAGGGTTATATTTGCAATTTATATATTGTTTTCAATAAACAATACCTATACATTTTAATAATCTATTAAATAAAATATTTAATACAAATCAATATAAAATTAACTTTTTCATTATCAAAAAACAACCCAAGCAAAATACATGTCTCATAGTATCAAGAAATTAATATACAACATCCAAATTATAACATCTATTTTAGTAAAATCAAAAACTACAACACAATCAAAATAACTTGTGCATTTTAATAACCTGCTGAATATAATATCCATTACAAATCATTACAAAAACCTGTTCATTTGGTAATATCAACAAAACCTGTTCATTTTAATCTATTCAATAAAATATCAACAAAAAGATAAGATCCATCACAATATAATCATAGCCCACAACAACATAGTCAAAATACATGTTTGGTAATATCAACAAAAAGTACAACTACACTGTGATGGATGTGTCTGGTAATATCAACAAAAAACTCTTGCTATGCAGGTTACCAAATTCGTTCATCTCCAATCTGCCATTTAAAAAAGAAAAAAAAATGTGATGCTGTAAGGACATAATGTATATGCAACCTATAAGAAAAAAAATAAAAATTTCAAAGTAAATTTTAAACCAAATTTTTACCGTGCTTGTTTCGTAAATTTTTACAACTTACATTAGTTCCTCCCAAGGTGTTCATGATATTTCTTGGCTTTTTAACGACTATTTCAAGATTTTACTCCCTAACGGCCTATTTTCAAGCCTAAATGTTTTCCAACCGAGAGTCCTATGATTGTTCTGTAAGTTTTCACAACTTATGTTGATTCCTCCCAAAGTGTTTGTGATAATTTCTGATAATCTCAAGGTGTTTGTGATGTTTTTCGGGCCTTTAGATGCATACTTCACTATTTTCCCGGGACCTTGTGCCTAAATGCCAAAAGTAGTTTTTATTCTACCCTAGTTAAAGAAGAAATGTTCTACTAAATTAACATATAAACATAATATACTAACCAAGAAGCTTGTTCATCAGAATCTGAACTTTCCCCATTCTCAAAATTTCCCGTGATACCTTTCTGCGTCAAACACTCTATGATACTTTGTATCTTCTTGCTTTGTTTCTTCTCTGACTTTTGAAACCTTGCTATTTGTTCATTTTGCTGTGCTATTTGCATCTCAAGGCGTTGAACATAGTCACTATTTTCAGCAGGTACAACAGTAGTCTTCATAGAAGAAGAAGGCCTCAAGCCGAGTCCTTTCACATAACCTGACCTTGGCTTAAGTACCTTAACTGACAACTCCTCTTGGCTTAAAGGGATCACACCAGTCTGCGAGAGGTGTTCGGCTTGCGTCTTTATCATGTTGTCCTGTTAATTTAAAATAAATCGAACAATTATTAGTTATTCTACCCTACAAAGCAAATAAATAATTTTATCAAAATTAATATGCATTGCCTTGTACATACATAATTAGCTTGGCTCTCCGACGAAATCCATTCATGTGTGTTCGAATTATAGTGGATGGACTTGTAAAACTTTGCCAAATCAGGAACTTCTCCATTTGCAATTATCTGATTCATTTGTTTTTGAATGTTATTTCAAATATTTAAATAACAAAGCCTACTAATCTGATAAAATAAAATAGCAGAACACACCGAGCTGTGCACCCTAACCGGGATTGATTTTGATCCACATCTATGTTTTGTTTTCATTTGCATCCTATTATTCACATTAGTTAGTGATTGTTCCTACACGATTGAAACACCAATATAAACAACAAAACTTAACATTAGTAAGAAGAAAATTAATTTTTGACAATTAACATAAAACATTATACCATGAATTCTTTACTATTCCACTTCTTGTCAATTAGAGATGTCCATTGATTAAGAGTAACACTTGTAGGTGGGTGGCTTCTCGCGTACTCCTCCCCTCTTGCATCCTTAAGTTGCTTGTATTGTTTGTGCAACCTATAGGTGAAGCTACTCAATCGCCGACCAAACTGTGTGTTTAAAGTCCTTGCTACATCACTCGGATTGCCTTGTAGATCAAACTGATCCTACAAAATCAAATCATTTTTTTTATAAGTTAAATAACCTAAATTTCAGACAAGCAGCAATGAGCCTGATTAAACAACAAAGAAAAAAAGATTGCATCAACAGATGTGTTAACAGTTGCAATTTAATTCCTAGATATGCAGGCATTATATATTGTAACAGTTGCAACAGATGTGTTAACAGAGGAATATGATGTCCATGTTTTTCTAGCAGCAAGTTCTTGTAATCACCCTAACAAAGAGAGTATTTCTTTCACACAATAATTACCATGTAATTTCAATTTCAATTTCAATTTCAATTTTCATCTGTCATGCCTCTTTTACTTGACAATAATTACCTCCAAGCGTTGGATCATCGGCTTCTTATCAGCATCGTGAACCTTATTCCACCTACAAATGCTCAAGTCTGGTAATTGCGTTCGAACCTCTATGCCAATCTTGGAGGCCAACTTAGAGGCTTGATCTCCCACTGGCGCACGGAAATGTTCAGGTACAGGAACCAACATCTTTCCATTTTTCTGGACAATGCGTTGGGTTTGTATGCCGCGTGTTGGACCACGACCACGTCTGTCATGTGATGCTGTAAGGACATAATGTTAATTGAGTTAATAAGTAAACAAATGCAAGTTAGACCTTAAATTAAATATAAACAACTTTGCAAACTTACCAACACTACTAGATGCAGTCACCTCATGCACAGGTTGCACATTATGAGGTGGTTAGGGTTGGGTACCAATCTCTTGACGTGGGGGATCCATCCCTTCTTCTGGGGTGGGAGTTAATGGCCTCGAATGAGGCTGTAAACGTAACCCCGGTGGCATCTCTTGTTCCTGAAATAACATAATCGAATAGTAAAGAAGATATTTAACACAGTTAAAATATATTTTAAAAAAGATATGATGTTTAAGATATATGAAGAAGATATTTAAATAGTAAATGATATGTTCACACACAAATATAAAATAATGTATATAATACCTTGCGATAAAAGGAACCCAATGACTCATTATCACTATCGTTCTCACTCTCTGACGGATTATACTCATCATCATCATCTACCTCAACCCTAATTTTCTTTTCCTTTGCATTTGCACATTTGGGCTGAACCACACTCATCAAAGAATTTGTAATATTCTTCACTCCAAGATTGTTCATTACCTCATAGTTCTTCTTGATTCGCTTATTTCTTTGTTTCTCATATTCTGTTAGCTTCTTAGTTCTCAAATCACCTGGTTTCAGCCATTGTCTTTTTCCTTTGACCATTTTCTACAACTATATAACATAATTCAACTTTAATTGGAAAATATAGACAATATAATTATTCACCATTAAATAAAAGAAGAAAAACATAATCCCAATGTTTCGAATTGTAATGCATATATTTTAACTCCAAATATTTCATAACAAGGAAGTTCCAATCCCTTGAATTAATATTTCACGCAAAAATTTTAAATCATATTGTAGAGTAGTGAAGGTTTCCATGGAAAAAAAATCAAGACAAGAGATCCTCTTCTTAAAAGAGGTGATGTTCCTGTATTGCATATATTTTAAATCCAATTAGGATTGATGATCATTGATGCTTAACATAATTATGTCTTGCATTAATCATATATTACATTTGATTTTCTAATTGTTATACATTATGCAATATTGCAAATTCTAAAAATATTTTTTCATAGACATCCTAACCATATTTGTATTTTTATTTATTTTTTGCTATATCGATGTATAGAATTTTATTACTTTTTAGATATGGTAGAGTATGCAGAGAAACCTTACAACAGTGGTAGTAATAGTACAAATACGCCATGACCATGATCATATGTTGAATGAAGAATATGGAAGCTATATTTATCCTACAAATGAGTCACCTTCTATCTCTTATAACAATAAGGCAAAGCAGCAGCAGTAGTAGCAGCTCAGGCAAAGCAGCAGCAGCTCCATAATTCTAAAACTATCAAGTTGCTCCATAATTCTTAACAATGGGATCTTTTGATAAGGCAGAGCAGCATTGTAGCCACAGGCAGAGTAGCAGCAGTAGCCACAGCAGTCAGCTGCAGCCAAGGCCAAAGTCCACAGACACAGCAGCAAACAGCAAACAGCAACCAGCTGCAGCCCAGATCACAGTCCACAGACAGAGTAGCTAATACTACAGCAGCTGCAGCTGACTGCTATATCGCTCACAAACTCATACGCTTATAACAATTTGAATCTAAATAATCATAATCCGAGAGACAAAGTGTAACAAGTTGAACCTTCAAATATTACTTAAATGTTTTATGATCAACTCCTCTGATGATTTGTTGCGTTTTTTTTTTTTAATTAACTCCACTTATCAATAAAAAAAAATCATTATTGTTGATATATGGTTGTGGAAGAACATGGGCTTTTGAGCATTGCAAGATTTGAAATTTGAAGCAACCTTGAAGAGTTTTAAAATAAAGTAAAAAGACAAGTTTTTAATATATACATACTATGTTACCAGAAACATATTATAACTTTAAAAATGGGTAAATTCACTTGTGATATTCCCGTTGATGTTATGTATGTGTGTGTGAGAGAGAACAAGTGAATTACTCATCCTACAAGTTGCTTTCAAATTTGAACACACAATACCATCAACCACACATTACACATGTCAATTTTTAAAACATGAACCAAAGAAACAAAATGATAATGCATTACAATAGGATTTTCTCTAAACAATATGAAACATATAGCTCCTTTTCTCCCACAAACGTATGTTTTCAACTAATCTATCATGTTATTCTTTATTTGTAATAGATATCTCTAACTCATTCGGCTTTGGAGGACACAATGCGGTGATTGCTTTCACTCCAGTTTTACACCCTAAAAAGGACTCAAGGAAAGAAATTCCCTGCAAAATGAACATAGAACAGAGGGTCGGTTTATAGAACCTGTGCATGTGCATATAATCTTTCATGTGTTCTACAAACAAAACCTGTGTTTCTTTTTTCTTGACAAGTATACATGTCATACATAACTTGTCCATTTATATAAATACATATATTACAAAACTAAAATCACTTCCTACCATGTCACATTTCTGACAGCTGCAGCCAGGGCTCACTCAATGTCAACTAATTGGCAAGTTTTTTATTATGTAACCCCAAATTAGAACTGGTCAAATCTCCTCTTCAATTCCAGCACATTGCCCATATTCAGTGTTTATTCGCTTTGTACACAAAATATATAGGTAGTGGGAACCCACGTCCAGTTGTTAAAGTAATATAATTTGTTAAGAGGGAGAAAGCTCCAATCAACTACTAAACAAATACCTACACTGATTGAAGGGCTATAAAAAGGGTTAGCATTCCCTTTCTAGAAGTATCAAGTAGTAGTAGTTTTGGGTATTACAAACAAAGCCTAAGAAGTACATCTAAAAATGGCCACTTCTTTGCCAATGGCACTATGTGCCTTGGCAATATGTTTGTTAGCTACACATGTAGCATCTGACTACAAGCATTACACTTATGCATCTCCACCACCATCACCTTTCTATTACAGCTCCCCAAAGCCACCACACCAGATGGTTAAAGCAGTCAATAACATGTTTGTACTAATTCATAACATATATGTAAATAAAGCAATTAAATTGGACATCAACAATACTTTTGTTTTCTCTCTTGAAGCACTATTGAGTCTTGGCACTAATTGAAACCTTCATAGATACGTTCCAGTGACACCAAAATAGAAGTTTTGAATTAGGGCAAGAAAACATGATTAGATATGTGGGACTCATAAATTTGAAAAAGAAAATGATGAATGATTCTACAAAGTTCAAAAGTATTATTATTACAAAACTAAATTTCCTAGTTGAATTGTTGTCAAGAAAATGGAGGAATATGCAATAAGTAAAAATTTGAATTTTTGTGATGTCAATGAGGTTTTGAAAACTCCAAAGAACTCAGCATTACAATATCAAATTTGATTGGCCATGTTGCACAACAAAACTGGGCTCAATTAATAATTCACAGTATGTTTCTTCAATAAAAAAAAAAACACAATCTTGTTGCCCAACCCCCTTTGATATGTCTGTCTCTATATCTATATCTATATCTATATATATTGGTGTCCATCCATCTCCATGGGGTTACATGATCCAAGCTTGTACTATTTTCCACTTAGCCTCTTATATCCCAAAGTTTCAAATGCAATTCATGGCAAATTAGGCACTCTATAACTGATGTAGAGATGCGTATGAAATGAACGAAAAACACAAAGAAAACAAGAATAATATTTTATATATTTCTCTGAATTTTATTAATAAAAAAGAAAATCATGACTGTGTCAATAACTTCAATATTGGGCTAAATGGAATGCATGATATTTCATGCAATTCAAATAACTGCTTGAACAGCAAAGGTCTTTTTCTTCTCATGTGGTTCATAATCATACAAATCTTAAATGTTCAGTCATTACCAAAACTCCGATTTGAATTACAATCAGAAAGAATACAAAAAAGTAACTAAAGAAAGAATTAGGATGGAGAAATTAAACCTAAATCTTTCCCCTCCAGAAACAATACTTTAATTTACTTTCACAGTATCTTAATCAAATTACAAGGTTCATATTCAGAATCTAATTATATTCAGAATCTAATTATAAATAAAATAGAGCAGGATACATATATATATATATATATATATTATATGTATAACAATATAATGTATACAGAACACAGAGTAGCAAAAGAAAAGAGAGAAAGAGAGAGCATCGAGAGAAAAGAGCAACGAGAGAGAGAGAGAGACTAACAGATCAACGGCAGTGAGAAGAGGAGATGAGATCGGCAAGGGAAGGAGAGGCTAGATCGGCACAGCAGCGAGGGGCGGTGAGGAGAGGAGAAGCTAACGGATCAGCGGTGGTGAGGAGAGGGTGACGGCGGTGAGCAGAGTGAGCCGATCGGCGATGAATTTGTGTCTGAATCGATGAGGAGAGTGAGCAGCGACGTCGCCTCTGTGTGTGTGTGTGTGTGTGTGTGTGTGTGTGTGTGTGTGTGTGTGAAATAGGTTTGAACCGATAAATTATTGTGGGTGTTTGAGGCGCCAAAACATTGTTTTCCCCCTAAATATTTAGTAACTAAATTATTTATTAGTGGCAAAATTATTTCTTTGGTGCCAAAACATTTTTTTCCCCCTAAATATTTAGTAACTAAATTATTTATTAGTGGCAAAATTATTTCTTTGGTGCCAAAACATTTTTTCCCCCTAAATATTTAGTAACTAAATTATTTATTAGTGGCAAAATTATTTCTTTGGTGCCAAAACATTTTTTCCCCCTAAATATTTAGTAACTAAATTATTTATTAGTGACAAAATTATTTCTTCACCAAAGATAGAAATATTGGCCACAAAAATCGTTTTGTCACTAAATAATATTAAAATATTAAAAATTATTGGTGACAAAAATATATTCGTCATTAATAATTTTATAATTAGTGGCTAATTTTTTCGTCACTAAAAGTCTCAAAATTTTGGCACCCTTCGAAAATATTAGCGGGAAAATATTTGGTGACAAAAAAAATTGTAAATAATGACGAAAAATAATTTCGTCACCTAATTTTTTTATTATGATTTAGATTGGTGACGAAATTTTATTTTTGTCTCCAAAAATGGTACATTTGGAGACGAAATATGATTTTCGTCATTAAAACATACGTTTATCGTGACAAAAAAAAAATTCGTCATTAGTTTTCATCTCTAAAGACTATTTTTGTTGTAGTGATAAAAGGTCAAAACCACCTCTAGAAATGAGTTATGACAGCCCTAAAACCTACCAAAAAGAGCCTGAAATTGGTCTAGGAAACATGCAATGAAAGGCCCCTTTGAAAGGCCTTGAATGGGATTGTTTTACACATGCATCATAGACATAAAATATGGTCAAAGAGGCTCCGGACAGAGCTAAGGTAGACCTTGAAACTCACAAAATAGGGCCTGAAATGTGACTTCACAACATGCAAGATGGAGCCCCTTTGGAAGGCCAACAATGCTAGTAAAGAGAACAAGGGGTGAGAGGGTCACCCCTCTCTGATTTTGAAGCTCAAAAACATATCTAAGCCACAGAAAATCCACTGAATTTCAGTGGCCAAAAGGCCAAACCAAGGCCAATGCAAATGCTCAAATGCAAGGCTCAAAACATGAGGAAATGAAGCATGGAAGGGGGAAGATGACCCCAAACAGAAAAGAGTCCTAAAACAAACATGTTTATGAAAAATCCCAAAAATGCTTGTAAGTATGGCTGATCAATCGAGCAAAATAATGTAAGAAAAAGGGAAATGGAGACTTACCCTTGAAAAGCAGGTTTCCAACAACTTCTGGACCACG